GGACGCCATCGACGCCTGCGCCCGCCACCCCTTTTCGCTGTCACACGGCACTTATCTGCAAGCTAAGCCGGTAACAAACCGCGCAAAAATCCCTTTCCACTGTCTTTTCCTTCCTGTAACACCTATAGCGGTGTGAAGCCAAGACTGCCCAAGTGGGACATATCCGGCAACCTTATCGTTTCGACGACCGATTTTTCTGATCGGGCCGTCGTTGTCAGGCTTGTCAGGCACCATGCGTGCACCCACCATGTACGCCTCACACCTCTAATAACACACGCAGATGAGCCCACCCTTGTCACACCCTCAGCCCTGTCAGTGACGGTCCGAGAAGTGAGCTTGCAGCAGGGCCCCTCAGCTTAGGAGGGTGGGTCACACCTGCCGGAGCCTAAGGAAAAGAGCCTCAAATCTTTCATCCTCGAACCCCCTCCCTGCCTACCTACCTAAGTTCCTACCTCTCCATCTCCCTATGGATCGACACGACAAAGGGGTGGTACTATCGGACGCGGCGGGACACAAGCTGACACTGAACCCCCACGCCCCCCTTCGCATCCATCCCTCCCTCCTCGTGGTTCCCGCTTTCGAAACGAGCGTCGTACCCACGTGGATCTCCCGGCCCAGTGCCGGGACCGTGACAGGATAACCTTCCTTCACCCTGCTTGGGATTCTCGAGAATTCAGGACCCGGTTGTGCTCAAGGCGATACATCCTCCTGCCGCTGGCAAGGGGGCAGAGCAAAGCGTGTGGGCTCAACTCTTGCCCCTTGCCGCGTGGGTGGATTGCATGGCTAAAATACCAAGGGCGACAGCAAGTCCACCTTGGGCGCTGATCAGGGTCTGGCTCGCTGTGCTCTCGGTGTTTGGGAGCGAACGTGAGTCTTGGATGTGCACCTCTTAAGTTTGTGGTGAGGCTCTGTGGAGCCACGCTTGCGTAATCAGTCAGCAATCTTTCCTCAGCTTCAACTCCGGACAACATGACGAGCAGTAGAGTATTGTGAAACCGAGCTAGTCTCTCGCTGTTAAACACAAATGACAAAGTTCACCATGATTGGAAAGTTAGATTCAGTACTCTGCATGACCTGGACATGGCAGCAGCCATGAGTCCGGGCAACCCAGGTCCGTCGTTCTTTGTTGCCATATACGATGCAACCATTGATCTGATCTTGCCCTCTCAAGCAACGCAAGCCGGCAAGTTTTGTACCTCTACTTGAGCCTTTTACCTTGCGCCATGATTATGTGAAAACCAACGAAACAGTCCACATTATTCAAGTCATGGAATGCCCCCATTTGACCTGTATAAACATCTGGCATATACCCCGTTATCACTTATGGCTTCCAGCCCTGTTCTCGCATTTATCTGCTATCATCTCGACATTGTTTGATGTAGGAGGGTGTGCCTGCCACTGTGATCCTGCCATGTCAAGGCATTTGACCCTTGGGTCACTTGGCCCAGTCGTCTCTAGCCGCTGCGGGTTTGCCCTGACCAACCTGCCCTGTATTCACATCCCTTGAACAGGCTGCCGTTTCTTCGCCATGTCATGATCGCCGTAAATCTCCGGCAGCAATTCTTCGTTTCCTGATTCTGCAATTCTGGTCTTTCATTCCAGTAGGCGATCCTCATTTCGAAAAGGGGATGTAGACTAGGAGGGAGAATATCACATGTTGGCGGGGTTTCCTATGCTTCGCCGTAAAGGATTGCATACTTCATGCATCAATCAGTAAAGGAGGTCATCTTGTGCGAGGAAATAAATGCATCTTGTTCTCTGTCACTGTGTACAGATACCATACTGCATCCTAGAAGTCTTTGCCCATGTTGCTTCCGAAGGAAGACAGCGATTAGAGGGGTGGGGTGAATAGCTTTACATAGATTAATACCTAAATATGAATACGCCTTGAATAGAAGCTGAGAAGATCATCTCGGCAAAGTCACGTGAAACATTACCTAGTAGTTGTACGGTTTAGAAACGATCAACTCGTCCCCGATGGGCCTGGCTTCCTCAGAGCCTGCTTCGCTGGACTGCACCTTCCCGAAGTACTTCTTGTTCGCCCGATGATAAAGTGCAATCAGAAGTAGGACGCATGCCACAGACAGCGCCATGAAGACCACGGCAATGGTCCAGCCTCGGTGGTAGAAAGGGCGATCATCAGCACGGAACAGTTGGGCACCGATGAGACCAGCCACGTTAGCCGACATGATAAAACAGGCCTGCCATGTCAGTGAAAAGGGTACTTTGAGGCGTGTCCGTGAAGAAGTACTTACCATTCTCATTGCACGTTCACTTGGTGTTTGAGCATTGAGCGACAGCCAAGAGCCATGACAGCATCTGAATAAGCAAGTCAGTTTTGGTTCCGGTAGAAGTCCTCCGAGACAAATATCGATTCTAGTGAGCATTCTACTTACGCCACCATGAGGTTGTTCCCGCAGCCATTGTCAATAAGCCAAATTTGGTGCTTGCTGCGGCATCATCTGGAAGGCACTTGTACGCAAGCTAGTGAGGCACACGTCAGAATCGGCAACGAACTCCCCCGCTATTCTGAAGTTCACCTACCGTGAATATAAACTGGATGCTTACCGCACTCAGCACTAGGTAGCCTCGGCGACCCCATGTATCACTATATCTGGTTAATCCGTTGTTGGGCTTTTGACCGTGATGTAGTAGGGATACTTACGCAAGCCAGCCGAGGAACAGGGTAAGAGCCACACCCATCCACTGCCCGACGGAAGTCAATGCATTAGACTGCAGTCGTTCATATCCGAAAGAATTGACAATGCTCGGCGCATATGACCAAAGAGCGATGCTGGGGGCCAGTCCAACAGACGTCAGCAGGATGTGGGGCCATAACTTGTAATCTGCCACGGCACGCTGTAGGTCGCCGAGATTGATCGAGGTCTTGGTTGTCGCCTTATTAGGGTCATCAATAATGATACGGTCTCGAAGAATCGTAATCTCGCGGTCCGTGAATAAACGTACGCCAAGCAGCGACACAGGATTCGATGGAACACCCGGGAACAGGGCGAAGAAGCAGAAGCCAGCAACAAGCGTCAGCAGTCCCTCGAGGATGAATAGCCACTGCCAGCCAGCCAGTCCTGCAACGCCACGCATCTGAAGTATGCCGTACGCTAGGAGACCTCCGGATGCAGTGGCAAAGCCGTTGCCCATGAAGTACAACGCGAAGCGCTTGCTCAATTCGGGGCCTTTGTACCACAGAGACAGCGTATAGAGTCCGCCAGGGATATATCCTGACTCCAATAATCCTAGAAGCAGCCGGGTGGTAAGCCATGCTGGAAGCCCGCTCTGGAAAGCTTGGAAAGTAGCAACAAGACCCCTGACATGATGTATTAGCCTAGGTAGTGCGAGGAGACGGAGGTGGCTTCTTCACTCACCAAGCAACTATCTGGCAGCTGAGCCAGATTTTGGGCCCGGACACGATACAAAACGATGTTGCTTGGGATTTCGAGAAGGATGATACCGGCATTGAGAAGCTGCATGCCGACGTTAACTGGTTTTGCGTACTCCCAACGTCCTTGAGAAACCCGTCCGTCAAGGCATTTCCGGCATTGGAGCGATCGAGCTGCAGGACAAAGAATGCGAACATGAGAAGGGGCATGACAATACAATCAGCCTTGCGCACCGGGGCCTTTTCCTCGGCATCGGTCCACGTTCGCTCCGGAATCTGCCTCTCAGATTCCGGGCCGGAGCCAAAGTGGGGCGACGTCTGCGAGTGTTTCTCGTCAACCGATGGAGGCACCGAGGTCAGTTGGGTATTGACTCGATCCGACTTGGGTTCTGCCATGGCTTCGTTGGAGGAGAGGCGAATAGCTGGTAAATCTAGTGAAGCCACCAGGATGTTTTCGCTTGGTGTAGAAAGTTGCTGAAAGTCGGTCAGCGTGAAAAGTGTTTGCAGTGGCACCGAGTCTGTTGGATTGCCGCTCATAAATTGAGGGTTCTCGGTGGCAGGGCATCGAGCTAAATATCAATCCTCAGAGGCAATCCCCGACAATCCATAGATGTCGCAATCAATACCCGCAGTGACGCCTCATGGTGTTTCGACGAGATAGTCAAGGCTCAGCCAATATTATGGCGCATCACCATCAAAGAGGGTGACCAGTCTCGAGTAGCATGTTCAATGAAACGGGTGTGCCGCGGAAGTGCGAGTGAAGCGGGGGCGGGGGCGGACGGGCTTGTGGGTGCGGGCAAGATATCAAACTCACCCGCTCCGGACCCCTCGATCGGCGGTCGCCGGTCCTGGAGACACGCCGAATGTCATGAAGACGAAGTCCTTTTCCTGTTCTGATCTCGTTAGTTCGTAATTGTATCATAATTAGCACGCTTGCATCACGCGCCACACTATGGTTTCCTGCGTCTAGATCTTCAGTGTATTGTTTCATCGGTCGCAAACTGCCACCACATAAAGTTACGCTGCCATCCGCCCTGTGAAGTGGCACATCTCGAACAACAACGACCGAGGACCAACAGCTGATCGACTATGTATTTTCCGATGATATTTCTGGCCGCCGCCGCAACCCTTACTCTGGCGGATATGACGTACAAATCCCGGCCAGACCTCAATCCGATCAAATTGAATATTACAATCCCGTGCGACGACTCATGTGAGCCAGGTTACCTCTTCGTTGCCCCCTTCAGTGGAACCGGGGTAGAGGCACCACCCAAAGGCCCAGCACAACAGGGCGCCTACATAATTCGCAATGACGGCGATCTCGTGTGGGACGGATACACTTACTTCTCTCCTTGGACTGGAAACTTCCAGGCCGCCCGTTGGAATGGTTCAGACATTATGTTCGCTTTTGAAGGCTCGCACAACGGTCTGCACGGCCACGGACACGGTCGCCATGTCCTGTTGAACCAGAATTACGAGGTGATCAGGTCACTGAGAGCTGGTGGACATTTCATTAGCGACAAGCATGAGTTCATCATCATCAACGAGAAGACGGCGCTTCTTCAGATTTATCAGCCGCTGCAGATGGACCTGAGTGGCTACGGCGGCGATGAAGATCAGACTTGGATAGTAGACGCGATATTTCAAGGTTTTTGGCCCCTCCTCCTCAGCACAATACTTGCTTGGGCTGACACGCGGCGGCTGAAGAGGTCGACATTGAGTCTGGTCGTGTCCTATTTGAGTGGAGAAGCCTAGACTTCGTAACCCCAAATGGTAAGATGCCTCAGTGGAATCCTAATCTATGCTTGGAAGATGTTAACAGAGGGCCCTAGAGACCTCGCTTCCCCTGGCCCTAGGTCAAGCAGGGTCTGGAACTCACAGTACGACAGCCTGGGACTACTTTCACATCAACTCGATCACCAAAGGCGACGATGGACACTATCTACTTTCTGCGCGTCACGCCTCGACCATTTACAAACTAAACGGCACAGATGGCTCAATCATCTGGCGCCTTGGTGGTACAAAGTCCGATTTCATCCTGGGTCAGGACGTCTCATTTGGGTTCCAGCATCACGCGCGCTATCTCCCAGCCATCAATGCTTCGACAGAGGTTATATCGCTTTTTGATAACTCATTCTACGGCTCGGAATCCGCTGGAGGTGGCGATAAAGCAATCCGGCTGCACCCCTTTTCGAGAGGTAAATATATAGCGCTGAATCACGAAAGCGGCCTGGCAACGCTGCTTACCGCTTTCCACCCGCCCAAAAACTCGATTCTCTCCAAATCACAAGGGTCTCTTCAGACACTGCCAGGTGGAGGTGCGTTGTTGAACTGGGGATCCGAAGGCCAATTGACAGAGTATACATCGGAAGGGGACATCGCCTTCCACGCCGGCTTTGGTGATGGGCCCTTAGGAGAGATGGAGCAACACAACTACAGAGCTTTCCGGTACAACTGGACAGGCATCTCAGCAGAGTCGCCCGCAGTTTATGCTGAGGAGGTAGATGTTGGCACAGTCATACTCTACGTGAGCTGGAATGGTGACACGAGAACCTCCAGATGGAGGTTCTCTTGGAAGGAGGAGCTAGAAAGCCGCCCAGATCAAGTTCAAGTCAAGAACCAGGAGACTCACCGGACTGGGTTTGAAACCTCCCTGACTATTCGGTCTCGAGGAGCATCCATTTCGCAAGTGGTCGCTGAGGCACTGGATGTCCATGACGGTATCCTCGCAAGATCCGATCCAGTCTCGATCGCAATTGCGCTTCCAAAAGCTGTCAAGGGTCATCAAGGGACCTCTGAGCTGCAACTGGTCGAGCAGGGCACAGGAGTGGTGTTTCAGGAGCTTTGATTTTGCGCTGTGCGCCACGAGATCACTGGTCAGCTCAGTATGCCCATCCCTCTACCTCATATTGTTTCAATAAGTAACGCCCGAGAACACCTCATTATACCAAACGTCAAAATCTTCAAACTGTTCCACGTCATACAAAATAGCAGGGTCCCATGTCTCGGATGCTGCTGGGCTTTCCCAGAGCATAGGTCTCATTCCGGAGACCGGATCCAAGTCAAGGAATTTGGCCAAGATGTCCTGACTTGCGATGAGTTCGTCGATAGCTTCACGCTGCTTCTCCTCTATCGTTCCATCACGCATACGCATAACCTTGATGACAAGCTCCTCCTCGACGGAGAGGAGAACCTCGGTCAGCGTAGCGCACTTCGCGGCGAGGACGTCGCATGCTCGCTTGCGCAAACGTTCGCCCGCTCTTGAAAGGAGCTGTCGATATTCAATGGCGGTTTCACTCGTGTGCGAAGACTGGTGGAGAAGCTCCAGGCCCAAAACTATGACAGCCGTGATACAAAAGGCTGTTTGTGTCCAGATAGCCACTGTGTCTTCAGACGCTGCGCGTTCATGTTCTCTAAGTATAGTGACCGCTGCCGCGGTACATGTGGCTCTTGTTCTAGGGAAAAGTGAGCTCTGGAATGAGTAGAATAGTAGTGGTCGATGAATGTTGATGATTTTGTCAGCAGCGGAGATTGCCATGGTGCGTCTTGCGGTGGGAAGCCAAGGGAGAAAGATAACGGGACCCTGGAGTCCCTGTGGTCCTCCCGCAAGAGACATGTTGGTAGGCTGTGGATATTCCGGCGCATATCGGCATCACATCTTAATACGTGTTCGTAGATTTCCTTCGAATTCTTTTGGGAGCCGAGAGGGCCAAGGCCATCAAGAGCAGGGGCCATGAGTAAAGCCTGCCGCGCAATGATCCGTGTATATGCACTTGACGTCATTGAATTGTTGTCTTTCTCGATCAGATCGTGGTCGTTACAGTTCCTTGGTATTGGCGTAGTGAATTGTGAGTGGTGAATAGCGTAGGTCTCTGTGAACGGGATGGAGAAATAATCCTGAATCACGAGTTGCCACCAAGTACGCTTGCCAACTTCAATCTCTATCTGCTCGAGCCAGTCTGACCGAGCCTGCCCTATGGCGATATCAGGGTCGGATTGTATCAGCGTAGGTACCGGGAGTGGTTGGACACGGTGTAGACCGAGACACCTGGCAATGCCATGAGCGGCGCCGAGCAAGTTGCCGGTAACCTGGCTCAGGCCCAGATTATGCCCAAGTCTTGTTATAAGCGTGATTGCCTGAACAGAGAACACTGGCCAAGATGAATGCGTCGTCAGCCGAGCACGAAGAGCTATCGTGAGACGCATCAGGCACGAGCCAACCTACTTGATGGGTGTTGAAGGAAGTCTTCATCGTATAAAATGTCGGTCAGCTTCCTAAATTGAAGTTCAATGAGGCTGTCATCGAAAACTACATGAGCCAGTCAGCTTGGCTCGGATTTGCGTCGACAGGGAATGCCACGAACTCAACCCAAGCTCTCGGCGTTGACGAGGGCTGTTGACCAGTGACCAGAGTGACGTCTGCCATAAACATAAACGTCAGTGATAAGTCCCGGACAAGGGATTTGCTCTACCCACGCATGTAATAGCGAGATATAACGCCATCCATAAAGGATGCACGACAGCACCTGAAGTCCAGAATATCTCGCACTGCTCCAGGAAAGTGTCGGAATGGAAACCATTATGATGCCACCAGAGGTGTTGCATGTGGAAGTCTTTGACCAGTCGTCGAGCATCATTGTTCGGAAGCAAGATCTTCGGGTCTATATTCGTTGAAGACCATTGCAAGTATACGTCTCGAGTGTCGCAATTCACAGAGGCAAGCTCGGCGTAAGTCCGATATCTCATGCAATTGCATCGACGATGGGGGTAACAAGCCCCGGTAAAACGGCCCCAAGCCAGAGACTCGAGACACCTCAATGTAGCTGCACTTTGACTGGACAGCGTGCCCTCATGGCGCCGTATCGTTGTAGGCTCTGCGTTTTCGGATGATGAGCAACCACGGGTGCATTTCGATATATTCGTGACAGAAAGCGGAGTCCCCAGTGACGGACTTCCACTCGCGATGGCTTCACCTAGTAATGAGGCAGCGTCGTGTTGCGTTGTGGCAATGATCAAGCCAGCAGGTGTCATCGGGAGGCCACTCTCAAGCTTATCAATACGCCGCTGAACCTGTTGTCCCAACACTTCGAGGTCGCTCGCATCTGTGAGACCTTGCTTCAGACTGGCCAAGAACTGGAGCTCGTCTTCGTGCCGAGAGACGATTTTCGTGGTGCGAACGACCTCGCGAGCACAAGGTTTTCGGAGGCGAACGCATCGTCCGCAAGGGACAGTCTTGTCGCACCGGACTTTCCTCCTCGAACATTCTGGCCGTAAATAAGCTCGTGTGACACCGAGTCGGGCACTGCACCTCGGCTACGAACCTGCGCATGATAGGGGTCGACGCTGAGAAACTCGTGGACTCGGCATCGGCTACGATCACTCTCAATGCAGTTTCGCAAAGTAAAATTGATAAATTGGGAGGTCCATGAATTGGTGATGTGAAGTCCCAGGATTCGCACACACGCCACCAATTGTAGCGGCTCATTTTGGATTGCGCGATATGCAACTCTTATCACGCCATCCCCTGGCCATCGTCGGAGTCGACAACTATGACTTGACTACAGATATCCAGACCGTATACCACAGCCACAGTATATCATTCTGCTGGGTTGGTGGTTTTTGCAATCCCAGGCCTCAATCGGCACACTTATGAGGCCAGTGCAGGAACCAATATTTCCGAGGATCTGTGGGCGTGATCATTCTGGGGTCTTTCAGAGCAAAAAGGTAACTCAGGCCTAGATATCCCGATAGTTCTTGTATGGACAATAAGAGGGTAGATTGGGCTCCCGTGTCGGATCGAAAGGCCCCCCAAAACATATCGAACCCGACCTACCGCCTGGCTTTCATCCATGCACAACCCCGAGGGATTTTTTTCGTTTTATGGTTGCGTCTGCCATACATTGAAAGCATTCTCCTCACTTAGAAACATGTTCCAGTCTATATCCGCAAGTTGCTCATCGCACCAGCCTGGTAACTCCCAGGCCCCTTCCGGACTGGTTGATGGGTGAACCTGATTCTCGACCGTCACCGTGACAGCCTGAAAGAGGGTAGCCACCATGTGGGCTGCTCGATCCGATCCCCTCATCCACGGCTTCATGTCGTTGAATATGTCCAAAGCCTTTGTCAGGCTTGCAGACCATCGGTCCACCTTTTCGGGGTACAAGCCCGGCCTCCATGCCGTCTCCATGGCGATCGAAAGAAGTGGTACCATACAGCCTGGAAAAGGTACCACGCAGAGTTCCACACATGAATGTGGTTGGGGGTCCAGTGCAGTGTAATGGCATCAATGGCCTCAGCCGCGATTGAGCGGCATGTGTCGGTCATTTGTTCCTCCTCGGGTGTGAACATGCGTTGTTTAGCGTTGTCATGAGCCAGATACAGCAAAAATGGACGGGACAGTACCAGCCGTACATTGAGATACCGATTTCTCAGGAATTCGCGTGCGGTGGTGACGCGTGGCGGCGAATTAGCAGTGTATTTGACAACTGATGGCAGTGTCTCGTACCAGTCCCGAAGCTCTTGGTCGAAAGCAAGAGCTTCAATGGCAGACATCCTTCGTAGCTGCGCAAATCTATGCTGAATGCGGTTGCAAATGTGGCAGAACTGACAGCTCGACCTTAAAGAGATGGCACAATGATCATCAGGTGAAAGGAGGCTTGGGGGCTGGGTGTCCATTGTCGTGTTATCCCATCGTCCACAGGTTGGGCGACCAAGAGTCATGCTGGCCCAAGTGTCAAGACAGAATAGACTCCACCATGTCCGCCGCCGCGTTTCAATTCGAAGGAGATTTTCTTGATTTGTGTCGGCTCCTTGATCATGAGTACGGCGCGACGAGTCTCGGTGTAAGCCTAGGGCAATGGCGACGCGCTGAGCAGCACCAAGCACAGCATATGCCATGTTTGGGGAATTCCGGTAATGCAGGTAGTAGCCTCCCAGTAAGCACAGAGCCTGGAGACTTTCCATGTTTCCCGATCCGAGAGAGTCCAGGTCGAGGAAAACCCTCGCTTGTTTGTAGTATTGCACGTGCAATGTGTTACTGCCAGAGGCAATGGACCCAAGCGTCAGAATCATGTTGAGAAGTCCCAACCATGAAGCATCTTGCCGGGTGCCCCCTATGTATGTTCTTCGAAACTCTTCTTCATTCAAAATGGGTGTAATGGCGTGTATGTGTTCGAAATAGAACTCGACGCAGCGCTGTTCTCGAAGCTGGTTGAGGGCCGGTAAGTTGGGTCCCGAAATCAGGTCTGAAGCTTGCTGGTGAGGCGGATGCTGTTCTTTTGTCAATTCTTTCGAGAATTCTATCGTACGAGCTTTAGCCGCTGGGCACAGTCGGAATAACGCCCCCATAACAGCACTCATTGAGGTGACGCCTAAATATGAGGGGCGGTGTTGATCTGTAGCCAAACTGATGGCATTGATGTCATCGCTAGCGCCAATTTCTGCTGGCTGCTGAGCTGATTCGTCCCATCTTCTCTCTTGAACAGTATCGCCAGCCTCGGATGCTTGAGTTGAACCATCAGACACGTCTGTGCCACCTGTGCCTGATAAAAAGTATTGAGGTGAAGGCCTCAATGGCTCAGGTGAAATATTGCAAACCGAAGTATCGGATGGCGAAGCAGTCGACAAGAGCTGAAGAAGTTCTGTTCTTGATCTCCCAACCAGGTCCTCGGGTGAATTATGCGGGAACAATGTATTGAGAATGCGTTGTTGTACCTGCATTTGCTCGGTCACCTGCTCCAATGTACTGAATGCCCTGTTAACGATCCAGAGTTAAGAAGGAATGGATATCCAGGAAATTCACACCTCTTGCTGACAGCTTGTCTCTTGGTCCGTTGCCTGTAGACGCAACTCTCCGAAGTTTTGTAGTACTGGCAGCTAGTACAGGGAACACGGCCATCACACTTGACCTTTCTCCGTGTACACTCCGAACATGACTTGTTGACTCTGCGGGAGATCGGTCTTGCGACCTGTGGCGATAAATGTGAAGCCGGTGGGTCCGTGCTACCGAAGGTGTGAAACATCGTACATTCAAACAGGAGGCTATTCTTAACCTTTCAAGACTGAAGTGTATGTTTGTTGGAGGTCGATGAGACCGAGGAGGAGCGAAAACATCAGGCTATAAGGCACTCTTGTGGGCCATGGCAGGGCTGCGGGGTAGAATACGGCACCGTATTAGCGTGACTTTAGCATGCCCAACGCTGAAGTGTAGGGAAGCTCTAGGTCCATCGCACGTTGCCAGCGCCAAATGTCTTCATTCTTGAATGTTCCTCGGAGTATGTTCAATATCTACAGCTTGGGTCTATATGTGCTTGTTTCATCCGGCGCCCCAAGGTAAGTCCACCTCAGAGGAGCTGACGTCGGCCCCGCCTCAATCTGTATCTCCCGCTTCTCGCCAGGCACAAGGTCGAAGCCATTGTCGCTCAACTTCATGCCTTCTGTCTCCTCAAGCACAAAGCCTTTGATTGGAAGTCTGCTGGAAATTGAGATCTTGCTGCGCGACTGGTAGATCTCGAGGCCGACGTGCCGGTCGTTCAGGTCAAGATACTTGAAAGGCTCCGGCCAAGCAGTGTCGGTGGCCACAAGTTCCCCGTTAAAAGTTAACGAGGCATGAATTACAAAGGGGTCATCAGCAGTATTCGCTGCAGATGCTGCAACAGCCACGCGTTGCTTCTTGTGAACCTCTGTCGTCCCATTCGGCTGAGCATAGAGGGTACTGGCGATGGCGTCGCGAATGTCCTTGCCTGTCTGGATGGAGATGAATCTGACCCTCAACTCGACCCGAACTGTATCAAGTCGACTGCTCGCGATCCAGACGTCATACTCACACTCCTTTCGTAATGTGGGGTCCGCGTGTCCTGATGTCCATTCTAGGCAGCTCCTTGATATGCCCACATCCAGCGGCCGCAGTGCTCTCGCGATGGCGTAAAACGCTGGTTTTTTTACCAGGTAGTAGTCCACTACAGCCCAGGACATAGTTGGCCAGCAGTCATTCAGTTGCCACACAAGAACGCCACCGCATTTTCGTGCTCCGGGATGCCCCCACATTCGTCTCCATGCCTTGTACGCGTAGCGCATGGTTTCGGCTTGTGTGATCTGTGTGAGATGAGTGAACGCTGGCAAGTCATAGCGAACCTGGAAGTTTTCCGCGACGTATGTCATCAGGCGGCGTTCGTGGTCAATGGCTTTGTTCCGATAATCCATCGTCAGAGACCCAGGCCGCTGTTCCTGAGAGCTCGTGACCATTCTTCGAGTAGTCTGTAGATGAGGATACGCTTCCATACCAAACTCACTGACGAAGCGGCCAGTCAAGTGTTCCGCCTCCTGATACCTATTCATCAAACCGTGCCATACTTAATTTTGTCAGTAGTTGTAAAACGTGTATGTTTGAGGTAGACTTACTGTTCCATTGATGGATGTCTCCCACCGTCGGGTCAGTCGTGTGTTTTCCGTCTCCCCAGGGACTGCCAGGATGATACAAAACTGAGGAGTCTTCCTCTTGAACCAGCTTCGGCAGCAGAAACTCGTAGATATACCTTGCAGGGAAAGTAGACTTAAGCCAAGATTCGGGATCCTTATCATCGGCAAAATACTCCAACTTGTATCTCTCTTGCACCTGATAGTCTTCGTTGTTTCCGGCCCAAACAACCACAGAAGGGTGAGATCTAAAGCGTCTCAAGTTCTGCCGCGCCTCCTCTTCTATGCTTTCTAGAAATGCAGCATAAACTGGGTAGTTGCCGCATGCGAAGGCAAAGTCCTGCCAGACTAGGATCCCAAGTTCATCGCAGGCGTCCAGAAAAGCGTTGTCTTCATAGATGCCGCCTCCCCACACCCTGATCATGATTTGGTTACTTTCAACCATGAGTTTCATCCAATCGTGGTATCGTTTCGCAGTCATTTGCGAGAGAAAGCTATCGCCAGGAATCCAGCAAGATCCACCCGCGAAGATGTCGACTCCGTTAATCCGAAAGTAGAATGACTTGCCGTAGGCATCTTTCTCTTGAACGAGCTCGCAGCAACGAAATCCGATGAGCTTGGTGCTGCTGTCGAGTTTTGTCTGGCCTCTCCAAACCTCTGCTGATAGTTGATACCGTGACTGTGCTCCATATCCTGCAGGGTACCAGAGACAGGGATCTTCTATCTGAAAAGCAGCTTCGATCAAACCGCTTGCGCCAACGCTACAGGTCTGCTTGAACACCACCTTGTCATTGCGGGACAGGAGAAAGACCACGTGGTCAGTCTTTTCAAACGCACCAGAAACTCGAGCCATGAGTCGCCCAGAGCAGCTTTTCAAGTCTGCCGCCAAGTCGTAGACGGCCCGCACGTCACCAAGCCTTGCTGTATATTGTTCGAAATAGACAGGACGCCACGGTCCTGCCGTCATCAAGATTGGGCCCCAATCCCAGCCCCAGTTGTACTGTGCCTTGCGAACAGGTATTCTGCCTTCCTCCGTTTGCCGGGCGAAGAATTGATGCTCTCTGTGCTGCTCGACGATGTCACGACCACGGAGCAAAGCTGAGTCGAAAATGATTTCAAGGACGTTCTCGCTATCGGAGTTCCAAGTCATGTTGACATTGACACGGTTTGAAATGTGCATGTTTTCTGACTTCAGGATCTCAACGCCATTCAGAGTGACTGTGGCGAAAGTATCTAGACCTTCAAAAACGAGGTCGGTATTGGTGTTTTCTGGGCAGTGGATAGCTGGTGCCGGGAGGCGAAGCTTGTATTGCCACGACTTTTCGGCAACCCACTGAACAGATTGTTCATTCATGTCCACGAAAGGGTCAGGGATCCTGGCAATAATCAATATCGCTTCATTCGCTGAGCCGAGATTATGGGATCATACCTCTTGTTGGCGAGCAAGTCTATGTGGACCTGACTCGGAACCGTCTCGACTGGAAGCCAGGCACCAGGGTCGTCATCTTCGTGCTGTTTAAAGGACCACCCACTACGCAAGTTCTGTCTGGAGCGAAGCATGCTTGGTGATGATGTAGGGCGGCGAAACATGGAATGTCAATGAATAAGGAAGCGAACAATAGGAATCTGATAGCACATGTGTCCGCAGACCATGAAAGAAAATCATCGGCTTTATGGCCATCGCTCCAACCGGCGGAGTCTCTCTGCCAGGCAGTAAATGCAAGTGACGTTCATTCTACATAGCTGTATTACCGAAATGGGAAACGTGGGGGACGTCGGGGAATTGAGGGCCCGGTCACGCCATGCCCAGAAAGGCATGCGGAAATCCATAATGCCGTGGTACCCCTGTCAGCCTGGACACGGAGGGGTGGATGTTTGCACTCGCATCAGCCACGAATCCTTGAACACCACTCGACAAGTTCTCGAGGAAGATCGCCTGAGTTCTCTTCGTCCGTGTAATTCGAGAAAGATATTGAAACGGCAGGCAACAGTACAATGGACAAGGTTCTACGGCTGTCAGAAAGCACGTCGCTTGCAGCCCCCCCTTGACACGATCACAAGTCTGACACCATATAGTACGACATCACGATGTTGCGGGGGATTGCTGGATAGCCATACATGGCAAAGTCTACGATGTAAGTGAAAGGTCGCCCGTGAAGACTGTACTGATCATACTGCCATGATGATGTGTTGCATACATCTGTCTGCGACTCACGATTGTTGACCGTCATCACTAGATCACAAACCTCTTAGAAAGCCATCCTGGGGGAAAGGCAGTTCTTCTCCGGTATGCTGGAGCTGACGCCTCTGTTCCATTCGATGAAGTTCACCCGAGAGAACTCCTTGATGAGTATCAAGGCCTGATTAGCGTTATTGGTACATTCGATACAGAAGGGTCATCAAGCGCAGGTTTTACCACCATGACACCAAACAGAAGCTCAACTGCGTCCTCGCCGTCAGCCACAGTATCAATTCCAACGAGCAATATGCTCAGCATCTCGGAAATGGAAAGGCTGGCGCTGCAGCATCTGACCCCGAAAGCCATCTCCTACTATGCATCTGGCTCCGATGACGAGTTCACGAAGACTGCCAACAATTCAATATATCGCTCCATCATGCTGCGGCCACGGGTCTTCGTCGACTGTACAGCTTGCTCGCTTTCGACAAATATACTTGGAAACAGTGTAGGTTTACCAATCTTCATTTCGCCAGCAGCCATGGCCAAATTGGCACATCCTTCGGGGGAAGCAGGAATCGCATCTGCGTGTTCCAACTTCAATGCGCTCCAAATCATCAGCAAAAACGCCTCCATGTCACCCCTAGACATCGTCCGCGCCGGCAAAGATGCGGTGTTTGGGTGGCAGCTCTACGTCTTGAAGGACATTAAAGCAACCGAGCGAACCCTTGCTCAAATCCGGGCCATTCCCGAAATCAAGTTCATTGTTCTGACTTTGGACGCCCCTTTCCCTGGAAAACGTGAAGCAGACGAGCGCTTCAAGATGGCCGAAGTCGCTCATGGTGGTGCACCGCAGGTATGGGGAACAGAATCCGGGCTGACCTGGGGTAAAACCCTGGCTTGGCTGTCAACGCAAACCAAGCTGCCGATTGTGCTCAAAGGCATTCAGTCTTACGAAGACGCTTTTGCGGCATCATTATTTCCAGCTGTCAAAGGCATCATCATCTCGAACCATGGTGGGAGGGCTTTGGATACCGCACCAACTCCCATCCAGGTCTTGTTGGAAATCAGAAAGTTCTGCCCTCAAGTATTGAGCAAAATTGATGTTCTTGTAGACGGAGGTATCAAGAGGGGGACAGACGTGGTCAAGGCACTTGCATTGGGGGCAAAGGGAGTCGGCCTTGGTCGGGCAGCCTTGTATGGCCTCGCTTTAGGAGGACAGGAAGGTGTCGAAAGAACGCTGAAGAGTAAGTCACGTCGCTGTGCTATCCCGCTGCTGTCTGACTAGGGATCAGTTCTAGCAGACGAAACACTCACGGCTCTAAGACTATTGGGTGTGAGCAAGATCCAGGACCTTGGCCCACATCACGTAAGTTCATTCAACCCGAGCCTGCTCTTGTTTGTGGCCACAAGCGCTGAAATTGGTGATCAAAGGTCAACACAGCTGCTCTTAATCAGTACCTGTTCGAAGGGCCGAGTGGCTTAGATCAAATGGAGATTGATTTGAGGCCCAAACTGTGATAGCTTGTCGTGGGAAGTATTTTTAGGAACAAGAGGGCGCCTCAGTGCGGGCAATATTGTCGGACAGGGTCAAGTGCGGAAGAAAGGTGATGTATTGTACCTAGCTATTCTACAGGGCATGTATCTGGAATCAAGCTATAGGAGGCATTGGGCGCACAGGCCTTGGCACCAGGTGAATTTCACCACGAACAAATCATACTACTCGGTCACGCAATCGTCACTTGTTCTCGTTACATGAAAAGAAAGATGTTGAAGGTATTTCAATGGGCACAAACCACACACACCTTGTGATCAGGACACCGCTGGTGCAGCCTCAATACCCTGGGCTTTCTCCGGCATCTCCAGTGCGCGTTCTAAATTCACAAGGACCAATGGCTTCGATGCCGATCTTTCGATCTCCTCGTCAGCAAGACGACTCGCGGGTCGTCGTTGGATGCATGGACGAGCTTTTGAATTTCCGTGTCCATATCTGGTCTAGTTCTGGAGCAAAAATCCGGGGCCCCGTGTCCATACTGCGCTGGTGAGAGTAAGACCCACGAACGAGTGGTGGGGAGTGGGATGATCGCTTCAGTGCAACTCAGACCGTCCGCCAGCTAAATAGCGACTCGGTGCCTCCAAGACCTAAGGGAATCTCAGCACGCCAATTTTCTCCATATCGCATCTTGACCTTGTAATCTTTATTTTCAGAGTCGATTCGTCTGTTGCTATATTTTTCCCTAGCTCAAGTGACACTAGCGAAGTCAAGATGAACAAGTCAGGGGCAAATGTCACACACAAAGACCCAGATGTCGGGGAGAGTTTCGCGGAGAGGTACGCAACGATCATGGCGACGCAGAAACCGAATCCTCGTGGCCCAGGATATATCAAATTATACATTTTGGCCGCCATGGTGTTTTTGTGCTCAACAATGAATGGTAAGGCTTCGTCTTTAAGGCTGCCGCCCATAGATCCCCGGGAAACTACTTACTAGATCTGTAGGATTCGACAGTTCACTGATGGGGTCTATCAATGCCTTGCCAAACTTTACAGAGTACTTCGGACTACCAGCCTCAGGAAACGCCAGCACGGGTATTGTGTTCGCAATTTTCCAAGTACGCCATTATGTTGTGCAAATTCATATATCATGCTGATCTCCGTTCTAGATCGGACAAATGTGTGGAGCTCTATTCATCTGGATGACAGATTGGTACGGACGCACATGGCACATTTTCTTCGGCTGTCTAGGCGTCTGCATCGGCACCATCATCACCTTGCTTGCTACCAGCCTTCCTATGCTGATCGGTGGACGGTTCATGCTCTCCTTCTTCGCTACCTGCGCACATACTGCTGCTCCTCTTTACCTCGTGGAGATAGCCCCGGCTGCCTATCGAGGGACGATCGCAGGCATGTACAACACGTTCTATAACGTGGTAAGTGCCCGTATGGGGAGAGGGCTCGTCGTCTTCGACGCTGACACATGCCTTTTCTGTCGACTTACAGGGTGCGATACTTGCCAATTCCGCTGTCTATGCATGTCATCTCTACCTTGGTCATCGAGGAGACCTTGACTGGAGGATACCCCTCTGGCTACAAATGGTATGCCCAGGCCTCGTCTGCTGTCTGATAAAGTTCTACCCTGAGTCTCCACGATGGTGCGTATCTTCTGAGCCCTGCGTGAGTCTTTCTCATTGACTAATGTGGTATGTTAGGCTTGTGGCACAGGATCGTCACGAAGAGGCAAAAAATATCATCGCAACGTATCATGCCAATGGTGACCTTGATCACCCTCTCGTAGATCTCCAGATGGCGGAGATGATCGGTGCAATTGATGCAAACCATGAGGCGTCATGGAAGGACTTGTTTGACCTCAGGGTGCTGTTCGAGTCGCGTGCAAGCCGATACAGGATCATGTTGAACATTGTCTTTTCCTGGTTTGGTCAGTTCAGTGGTAACAAGTAAGTGCCATCCATTGCGCTGTCCACTTAGCAATTGTTGATTATCATCTCCTAGCATCATATCATACTACCTGCCCATCATGCTCAACGGCATTGGCATCACAGACACTAACACGAAGCTGATCCTCAACATTGCCTACTCGATTGTCGGGTGGGTGTTCTCGGCAGCGGGAGCCCGCCTGCACGACATTGTCGGTCGTCGAAAGATGCTCATGGGGACCGCGGCCGGAATGACCGTCTCTCTGGCCATTGTTGCCGGGTGTGCAGCCGCATACGAGGATCACGGCATTCAGAATGCCTCCACGGTCACAATCGTCTTCATCTTTCTCTTCGGCGCCACTTTCGCCGTCGGCTTCACCCCAATGCAACCCATCTACCCAGCCGAAGTCGTCAGCAACAAAATGCGCGCGAAGGCCATGGGTACCTTCAAGCTCACAGCGGGAGCTGCCGGTTTCCTCAACACCTTTGTCGGGCCCATTGCGCTTTCCAGTGTGAGTTTCTCCACCCTAGATGCTGTTGTTACGTGAGCACTGATCGCAGGCGGCAGATTGGGTACTGGTTCTACGTATTCTTTGCGTTCTGGGATAGTTTTGAAGTCGGGTTCATGTACTTCTTCTTCGTGGAGACCAAGGGGTCTACGCTGGAGGAGCTGGATGAGATCTTTGAAGCGGAGAACCCGCGCAAGGCCAGCGTTGAAGCTGCGAACGCACGCAGGAGGATGATTCGGGAGCAAAGAGATTCGACTGCTTAGAGGCCATGGTCACCCTAAGACTACAGCTTCTGGCGCGGGTATTCTTGTTGGAGGGAGCTTGCTGTCGTGGTAGAGCAGGGGTAACGATGGTGCTTTGGGGGTCGACTTCTTCTGAAGTGAAACTGTCCCTGATGTGCACCAAGATAGTCTGCTCCAATGCAGCAGCTTTTACGAATTGTTTAGTGTACAATGTCCATCACAAGAGCGTCCTGTACACAAAGGCGACAATCGCAGCTTCCGAGGGTACGTACGAGCTGACTGGCTTGTATCTGTGCCAGCCAATTCCATGTGACAGGTGCTTCAGGCACGCTGAAGGACCGGCCGGCGTCTAGCGTCTAGCGCCTGACGTATGCCTGGGCTCGTACCCCTGGAGCGGCCCCGCTGTGGCTTGCGCGGACCTCTGCCATGGTCCCCAGTGGTCAGCCGGTGACTGGACGTCACACCACGCTCGGTGTCAACGCAAGCAGAGCTCATCAGGCTCCAGGCTCCAGGCTCCAGACTCTTTCCGAAAAAACAACAACCCTCGAAGCCGTATCTTCTTTTGCAAGCATTTTTCTGGTGCGTTTCGATCGCGACAAACCTACTCACACAGTAGGTGGATTGCGCGGGAGCTTAGATCGCGATGAGTCGCAATTAATCATGCGTACATTCCAATTGCTGTTCCTCTCTGCAGGCCTCAGCTCTGTTTCAACGACATCAGCGCAATATGCGCCCACGACAGCAAACCTTACCACCGTGCGATCACCTCTCAACCATGATATCACCATCAGCTACAAGTCCCCCGACGGCGCCTGTCGCTCCGCATTTGACCACCAGAAACAATATACCGGCTGGGTCAACGTGCCCGGCGACTACCCTACGAATCTCTTCTTCTGGTTTGTCGAGGCCCGCCAAAAGTCCGACGTACTCACGATATGGCTCAACGGCGGGCCTGGGTCGAGCTCTCTCTTCGGCATGTTCAACGGGGTCGGTCCTTGCGAGATCATCGAAGCGGGGCTGGACCAGTACGACACGCTCGCCAGTGAATGGGGCTGGGATCGTGCTTCCAACATGCTTTTCATAGACCAGGTGAGCCAGCCACTGAGACATCTTCAGCACGTGAAGAATGTCTGCTAACCCACCCCAGCCCAACCAGGTCGGCTTCTCCTACGACACACCCACAAATGGCACTCTCAATATCCTCAACAACACCCGGACAACCCCGCCAGGGGGTCCCGTCGACGACCTACCACCCCACCTCTTCCTGAACGGCACCTTCAGCTCCCTGAACCCCGCCAATACCCCTAATACCACCGAAGATGCTGCCATCGCCGTCTGGCACATGCTGCAAGGCTTTCTCTCCGTGTTCCCTCAGTACAATCCTCCCAAACAAGCGGCACTGGGTGTCAATCTCTTCGCCGAAAGCTACGGCGGCAAATATGGCCCCGTCTTCTCAGACGTTTGGGAGCGGCAGAACGCTAAGAGGCTGAACAATACTATACCGCGGAACTCGACCCTCGAGATACATCTCGCTGCATTGGGCATCGTCAATGGCTGCATTGACGACGAGATCCAGGCACCCTACTATCCGAGCTTCGCAGTCAACAACACATATGGATTCGAGGGCATCAACTCGGTCCGCGCCAACCTCGCCAATGCCAGCTTTTACGCCGATGGCGGCTGCCGCGACCTTTTACAACAGTGCCGCACCGCCCAAAACGTTTACGATCCGGCGAGCTCAGGCAATGTCGACAGCGTCAATGAGCACTGCTCCCAAGCGTATGCGACCTGCTACAGATCCGTCATTGAGCCCTTCAGCGAGTCTGGGCGCAGCTTCAACGATATTTCCCAGCCGGCGCGCGAGTCCTTCCCCTCCAACATCTACATCGAATACGCCAACTCGCCCGCCTTTCAAGAGGCCATAGGTGCTGAAACCAACTTTTCCACCTACAGCCTCAGAGGCCCTTTCAGCCTTCTCGC